ACTGTAGCTACTTATATACTAAAGATACAATGGGTGCCATAAGTAAGTAAGACAAATAATAAGAGTAGTAACAGTAAAGACAAACTATAAGACAAGTAATTGATGCAGACAATGAAATAGACACAGGCTGAGACCTCCTTGCTGTGAAGCCCAAGTGACATATGACCTAAACACATGATAAATAGATGCTGTATTGAGTTTGTACAGCCATGCCTAAGTTCACTATATGTGCTTATGCAGTATTATGTCTCAAGGCCAATACAAGTTGGCTTGAGATAGAATAGTGAAGACAAACTTTAGCTTGAAGCTGAGAATATACAGCAAGAGCTACACTACTTATATACTGTTCATATCTTGGCTAAATATACACCTACTAATTGTATGTTTGTACACTATGATACTGGTTGTCCTTGGAGTGTCATTACTATCCACAAAAGAGTATTGTTCAGTGTTGAAGAGTGCTGTTGTTACTGAAGGACAATGACTGACTATGCCTATTATGTGACTGAGCATGTCCCACAGTCCTAAGCACTGGTCTAGATGCTCTGACTAAGCATAAATAGGGGTTAATCAAGAAAGAAAAGTGAAAAATCATAACACTTGCAAGACAATGGGTGTATGCAGTGACATGAAATCCTCTACATCCCATACAAAATTTGTATTTTGGCCTCCAGGTCACATCATGCAGGATTGTCTGGATCATCAGTAACACCTGTGAGGTCTGATGTGGCAATGAATTCTATCACTTTGTGTTCTCTCTTCAATCTTATGTAATATGAAATCAGATGAAACATTATAAACTTCAAGTGAGAAATGACTCCATTCAGTTCAGTGAGATAGTAGGCACCATGCCTTGTGCAATGGATGACCATCATAGAACTAAAATATCATGGATGAAATATCCAGTTTGTGTCAGGTTCAATTTTCTTGTTGAGCATGAGTACTATTGCACCAGACTTGAAGTTGTAGTCATAGATGGTGTTTTGGAATTGCTATTATAAGTCTGCAATAAATGCAAAACATTGAAGAGGTGATTGCATGTTTAAGCCAGAAACTGACACAGTGTAGAAATATGTACTGATCACATCCACACTAACACACACACACAACACTCTTAGTTTATTGGGGGATTATAATGTGATAAGAGTAGTGATGGTCAATACAACTGTATCTCCAATGATCTACTCTATGTGTATATATATGTGAGATTCTCTCTAAGTCTCAAAGCTTTTGTTTAAATAAGAAAGGCAACAAATATCACTGGGCCTCAAAACAAGGATACTGTATCTCAATACAATACTTTGAAACACTCACATAAAACCCTGAAAAAGTTTCAAGCACTGCTCAGACCAAGCTTCAAAACCTTAAGACACATAATACACAACTTAAAGCTTTATGCTCTAAGCAGAAACACTTTATAAACATGTCTATAGGCACCAAAGAGTTCAACTCTCTGCATGCAAGTTTCCAAACCAATTATAGATCCACAAGATTTAAACCTATGCAATCCAGAGACACAAAAACAAAATAAAACTCTGTCTATGTTAGACTCAAGCCACATGTGATCTAAACACATGATAAACTAGCATGGTTTTGTGTTCAAACCTTTGTGCTAGAGTTCACTTATTGTGTCTAGTTGACCAAGTGCTCCAAGGCCTTTGCAAGTATAGCTCAAGAGTAGAATAAGATAAATAAACTTTAGCTTGAAGCTGGAGTTTAACCAGTGAGGATGAGCCTACTTATATACTGTACACTGTCAAACTAAATATAATACTATCTATTGTGTGTTTCTAAGTCCTTGTGCCCATTGTCCTTGGGCATTGCTACTGTCCACAAAAGAATGTTTGTGCATCATCAAGAGCTAGTCACTATGTTGGAGGACAATGAGAGATTGGCTTGTTGTGCTGACTAAGCCTCTCTCACAGTCCTAAGCACTGGTCTAGATGCTCTGACTAAGCATAAATAGGGGTTAATCTGAGAAAGAAAGTAGAAAAATTGTAACAGTCCAGATCTAAAGAGTCTGAACCTCTGCCACCTATAGTGCCTCATATCACAAATGTCTTAAAAACTCAAAAGAGCCCTCTGGACACTGCTCTCTTATTCTCAGACTAGAGCACAATTAAAAACCATCTATTAACTCAGACTAGAGTCCTGTGAAAGCTTTTAATGCCTTGCCTGATTCTCAAAGCAATCTTAAGAATCTCAAGAAAAGATCTATTCTCTCACTGAAAGTTACAAACTAATCCTAGTAGCTGGAGCATAAGGCCTTCATGTCTTTACACTGCAACAGTGGGGGTCAAAAACTTGTATATTACTTTTACAATGCAGTATTTAAATAGGCTACTCCAGTACTTACTAAGATAAATCTAATATAGTAGTTTCAATGCATAGAACTCTGTTCTGGAGTCTCTCACAAGTTATTCCCATGCATGCCACTGTTTGACATGCATATTCTGCCTGAATCAGGGCTAGGCCTGTGGTTTTCATGCAATCTGACATTGGTTAGCTTGACTGTCCAGCCCAGCCACAGGTCTCTTTGCTTTCTTATCTCCTTGGGGCCATTAGACCATACATGGTACATATTCTAGACCATCAGATTTATCTTTATTGATGAACATTTTGCTTCAGCATTATCTCTTTCAGCTGGTTGTTCAAATATTTGAGGTTATATGGCTGTGCCTCATACCTCTGGTCCAGAGCATGTCTTTCTCTGTGCCACATATCTATGTGTCATTGATCACTGTGATGCAAAGTGTCTATCTTAGCTCTGGTCATCATTTCAATTATGTTCTTTCTATTTTTAGCAGATATCTCCATGCATTTAGTGTCTAGTGCTAAGACTTCATGTGCAGTAGGACTCTACTGATATTACTCTGAAACCAAGTCATGCACTCCACCAATTGTCACTCCAGTCAGGTATAATGCTGAGTCTTGTTTCATCACATGCTAGTCATAATGGCCTTTGCATACAGTCATCATGTTCCTTCATGTGCAGTTGTACCATTCCTTCACATGCAAGTCATAGTCACCTTTGCATGCATTGTAGACTGGAATACACTTAGTGTATCCTTGTATTTTGCAAAATTACATGCATAAACACATTGAGAGTGTGTCACTGCTTTTTTTTAGAATGAACACTTTTCTCTGGATGTAATAATGATGTTGATGAAATCAATTAACATGTTCTGGATATGTTTCCAGGATAAGAGGCAGTCTATTAGAGCATAGACAAGATGATAGAAAAAGAGTTGGATAATCCTACTACTCTTTATCCAGTAGAGTTCCTTCAAAATTTCAATGCTTTTGGATTGCCACATGCAAGGCTGGCTCTGAAAGTCAGATGTCCCCTCATACTTCTCTGCAATCTAGATCCAGCAAATGACCTATGCAATGGAATATGAATGATTCTCACATGTTTTCATCCTTATATTTTAGAATGCCATCTTCTTAGTGGCAACAATATTAGCAAGGCTGTCATATTTATCATGAAAGCCATGAGAACCTTTTACAGTAGTCTAGTCACCAGTAAATTGAATTAGCAAGAATGACTCAAAAAAGAAGATCACAGTGAAAGGAGATAATAGAGTCAAAGGTATATAGATGATACCACATCTATAGTGCTATTTAGATAACAGCACAAAAGAAATATAAGGTTTTTTGTATCATGAAAATCAGCTCATTTATAGTATGCATGCTTAATTCATATATCTGTTTTGAACAATTATCCATTCACCTTTTATTCAATCATTCAGAAAGAAACATTGTCAGGACTGTAGAAAACTGCCAGAAAGCTTCATATCAGACAACCTATGCAGTTCCATCTAGTGATTCTCATGACAAGAGAATAAGAACCTAAAAACAGTAAAAGTGTTGCTCTCCCCTTAAAAAAATGGATTTTCCAGTCCTTAGTGACCATGAAGTTCACTGGCTAAATGTCATAGAGACTCACACCATTTGTGTTTATATGACTGAAACAATAGACCATTGAAAAGCACTTGTCACAAGGTGTGAGGACTTAAGATATTATTCCAGAGAAAAAAGAGGACCAACCAGTTTCTTTGCCTTGAGAAGATAATCTGCCTCTAACATTAGGAGCATTGGCATGGTCCAGTTCCTCTGAGATCACATGTTGCATTGCTGTAGATTCCTGCTTGTCCATAGCTACAACTGAGACTATCACCAGCCATTTCTGATTCTCTCTCTTAGATCTAGCAATATGGTTCTAACATCACACTGATTACTGGATGCTTCTTATTTGATGCTATTGTGCCATGTGAACTTAAGAACCTTCTATAACATGTGGATGGACATATGGGTGTTATGATTTTTCCATCTTTTCACCTTTATTTAATGGGTTGACCCCTATTCATGCTTAGTCAGAGCATCTACACAAAGCACTTAAGACCATGAAACAGGCCTAGTCAGCACAACAGCCTAGTCAGTCATTGTCTTTCAACACAACAGCAATGACCAACAACACACAATAAACCTTTTGTGTACAGTAACAATGCCCAAGGACAATAGGCACAGACACTCAATAATATACAATAGGAAGTAGTATAATTAGCAACAATGTGTACAGTATATAAGACAGCTAGCTCTCACTGGGAGTCTTCAGCTTTGAACTAAAGTTTATTTATCTCATTCTACTCTCAAGCTACTCTAACAAGGCCTTGAAGCATAACAATCAGATAATACAATCAAGTGGACTCTGGTGGAAGGTTCAAATGCAAAACCACACTAGTTTATCATGTGTTTCTGATTATGTGCAACTTGAGTCTAACAATAGGTGGAAAGGATACAAAAATTTGTGTAGTGAGATATTGTGGTGGTTTAGGCTATGGTATCATCTGATGCAAGGTACATTTATTTCTTCATATACCACAACTGATGGAGAAATAAGGTCAACAAATTTTATGACTTATAAAGACCAAGCCCAGTGCACATGTTAATTATTGCTAAGGTAGAGATACCAACTTACTCAGGGCAGGACAAGCCACTTAGGAGACTGCCAGACTCATTGATCCATTCTGTGAGAGGAAAATAATGGTTTGAGCAGCAATTACAAATATGATTTGCAACTTTGGTGCACTCAGGAGTTTGAAATTGTGTAATCATTATATCCTCTAGGATAGATAGATAGCTCATCACAAAATTAATGAAAATAATGAATTGGAGAGACTCAGCATTGGATATAATGATCATGTTTGATAGCCTTATATCACAATGGGCAACCCCAAGTTGATGGATCCCAAAGATGCTGAGGAGAGAGAGACAAAGCTTTGATGTGTGAGTATAATGAGATAAGGATAAGAAGTCATTTGACATACAATGTCCTTAGCCTCTTTGAGGAAACATTCTTCAAGCTTTTGATCCATCTCATGACTACATGCTTCTGGAACTGGATGGTTATCCTTGTCATCCTCATTGTCATCTTTATCCTCATCACTTTTATTCTCACTATCATTATGTTCTAATGAAGTGAGGTGATGGCCAAAACTTTTTATTCACTCTCCCATGGTCACCCCTTTGATATATTCTATAATTAAAACTCAGGTGATCTCACTATTTGGCATCATAAGCTATAAATAGTGAGCATCAATTGTGAATGTCTGTAATAAGCAAGGAGAGTAGTAACCTTGTGTAATCTGAAATAATAGGGAATAACAGCTCTCTGGAGTGGCAAAAGGGTTTGGTAGATAAGGTCCTCAATTTTAGTGAGTCGGTGAGGAAAGATACAGCTCTGTCCATGGGATCTTGGCTTGGAAATAGATAGAAGTGATGGTTGTATGATCTTCAGGATAACCTGGCCTAGAGAAATATTGCCTTTCTTGATGTCGGCAATGCAGACAAGTGACCAAGGGATGTGAAGGTCACTAAAGTTCTGAATGAATAAAGTGATGATAATGTTATAGGTACCAGCAGTACTGGCAAAAGCAGAAAGATCATGAGCACCAGATGCATGGGATTTCTGAAAGCTTGGAAGCATGACAGTGAGGATGTGGTCAATGTTCAATGAATAGTCTCTTGCACACTTGTGGAGCTGATACAGTTCAGGAGATTTCTCACACAAGATTTTCTTGTCATTGATATCAAAATCCCAACTAAAAAAAGAATGATACATGTGGCGATTCAAAGGTTGGTCAGAAGGTGGTTGCAGTATTAAGGATTGGTAAAATTTGGAGTGACAATGAAGATACTAAGGAGATGTAATAAAGCTGATGTGAACTTGTCTTTTTGTACTACCATTTTGAGGCAGAGATTGAACAGATATTATTAATAGTGCCATATTCCTGGTCTTCATTCTTGGACTGGTTTGAAGTCATGTTAATATTTACTATCACATGGATCTTTGATTGCACAAATTTCCCATGTTGTTATCTAGCAATGTTATCATAATCTTTATCTTCATGCAATCTCTCTGTGAAAATTTGCAGCACCATGACTCTTCATCTCTTGTGGCATTTGTTTCTCCCAGAATATTGCAACTATGTGGTTATTCATTAGTTATTCATCTGTGACATTCCACTTAAATCTATTCTTCTGATGAAATGATGCATAGATCACCTTTCTGAGGTGTTCTTATTGCCCTTCCTGACCAGCTTCAAGTCAGATCAAGATAAGTGAGCTCAATCTTTTCTGATGGCAAATGTTTTCAATGTGTAATATGTTGATTCATTCTCATGCAGCTGCAAGTGCTCTTATGCTATTCTTTGTAAACTATTCATAGGGACTATTTCATATTACAATAAAGTAGCCACAATTCTACAGGGTGGTGTTGATGATATAAAGGTCCCCAGAAATCCTCATATGCACCAGCACTCCTACAAACACTCCTGTACCACTTATATCCACTGCAACCATCTATGGCTCTAATCAAATCTGAACTCATGTGCTGGGAGCACTATCTAAGCCTTTCACTTTCCATTTGCCCCATTAAAGACCTGAATCCATCTCATACATCAATGACTCATGGCATGCTATAATGAATTTTTCTTCCAACAGGACCAAAATTGAAGTAGGTCAGTGGGTTCTAGACTACAGCACAAAGACTGCAGTCAAACATATTCTTGATATGCTACATGAGAAAAAACATTTTATTTGGTCTGAAATTCCCTATATCAATCCATTGTACAATGAACAGGATGTCATGCAGACATCATTATAGGTCTTCTGTATGCTGTTTTTATTGATGAAGATGTTGCTTAGCTTGTCACTTCATCATACTGCACTGGTTACTATCATCAACCTTCTGCAGCTGGTACTTAGTGCTTTGTTGGTCAATGAACATTCAGGCTTTGCTAGAAGTAAGGACATCTCAAATGCCCTTAAGATCTTTTGATATAGAATATCTCTATGTTCTCAGCACATTGATCTGAATGGTTAGTCATGTCTTTGTGAGATATGCACTCCTGTTTAACTGACAGTTGTTAAATAGACAGATCTGTTAAAGACCACTATATCATTCTTGAGCCACATCTCTGTGACAATATCATGAAGGCTCCTAAAGAATTACCTCAGTGGACATCCAGCACCAAATTCAGATCTACATTGTTGAAAATATATCAGAAGTACAAAGAAAATGCAAGGCTGCTCACCAAGCATCAGTTTATTAGCAACCTTTCATGAATGGTGCTTGAAATCATCAAAGAAAAGGTTTGTTGTGGCCATAAGTCATGCACTTGCATGAAGTAATTAATCTGATGCCATATAAATCTAACATCATCATCCTGGAACACTGAGCTGGGAACTATAAAGAAATCCCCAAAAAGAAAATTTTCAACACATACAGTAATCAAGTCATCAGGAAAAACATCATAAAAATGGATGCTCAGATTAGGAAGTACATGTGTAAGGCTGTCTCTGAGTGCTATATAATTGACAGTTCTTTGCTTGCACAGATATTCACATGATGCCAAATGTCCAATGGTCATACTATCTGACTACCTCAACACAGTCATTCTAGAGGTCATGGAATCAGGAATTTGCAAGCATCCCAACCAAAAATGATGGATACATGATGGGACTTGGAAAAAATATGAATGTGGATAAATATAGCTTGCACTAAACCTCTCACATATGCATGAAATTTAACAGATTGATTTTGAATAGCTGTGAAGGATTTGATATCTGTCCACTTGAAAAAATGATGAGATTCATATTACCAATCCTTAGCTGACTGGCAAGGAAGTGGCCAATTTACAAGGTGGCAGCTATAGGAATGAATGTTTGGAAGTGCTAATGTGAAAGTGGAAATTGATGTCATGCAAATGGTACAAACAATATTAGTTCTATTGCAAGGGTTGAAAAACTCTGGAATGCAGATTCTTGGAGATGACAATGATGATAAGTCTAAAGAATGGTGCAGATGGACATATGTCATGAATATTGGCAACAGTCATACATACTCCAGGATAATTCCATAGGTAGACTCACTATTAAGCATAAGAAACTGTGTGGATGGTGGTCAGTCCTATGTCCTTAATCTACCTTGTGCTTTCCATTAATAGTATGGAATAGCTAAGCTCTGCAGATCTCTGAGCAAGTGGTGAATGCACTGACTAAGGTAATACATCATGTCAACTATACTTTCTACTTGCAAATTTCATTCCAGATCCTCTGAGATTATCAGTTTGATATATATAAGCTAGTCTCTCTATCACAAGGGTTTTCTCTTCAACATCTTTGGCAATAAAGAAAGAGAGAGAGATTATTTCTTTTCTACTTTATCAGTGTTGTTATATCATATGCATACTAATGCAGCTGCCAATCCAGATAAATGCTGCCCTATGAAAGGCAAGTTATATATGGTGCCAGTGCATGAAAAGGGATTCTCCAAACCTGCCACTTTTGCCACTTATCTGACTCTTGTCCTTCACATATATATCTACTATGTCTGAACTACAGATTCTGCTCAACACCTCCAATCTCTTTGACTTCTCAGAAAACTTTCTATCATATGGTGTCCATCATGATCAACCAATTGATCATCAGCTGTTTACTAGTAGGTGAGTCACCTATTACCATTGATCCAGATTGATGGTTTCCTTATTACATATATCACCTTTTCTTCAGTGTTAGAGATTTCAATGTTAACATACTGGCTCAAAATAATCCAGATCTCACATTTACCTTGGCCAACCATAGTAAGCCATCTTATTCACTTGAAGTATTTTCCCTTCCTCATGGATATTTAATATATATGACAATCTGCAAACCCCTCTCTTCTTATCAAAACATGGCATCTCTGCCATGAACTACAATTTATATCTTTCTTTGACTGGCCATTCTACAACTCAATCACATGAAACATACTTCTCCCCTCAGATGATTCTTGTTTCTACTCTCAAGTCATTGAGTGACCTCACTGACTCTCATGACTTCAACTACAAAGAGCCAGGTGAATTTTTCATTTTCCATTTTCATATGTGCATTTGCTTGCATTGATTTGTGTTTTGTTGGTAACTATTTGAATCCTTATCAGTGTTCATGATATCAAAAGTACATGTTAGTACATATGATTGCAGAGGAAATATTCACACCAGAAAGTCTTTGATCCCTAGAAATATTTACAACTGTTATAGACAGACTAAAGTGTTAAGTGTTTGAGACCTAATAAATGATAAATTTCCCATCCAACAGATCTTCATAGCCACTCCAATAGTGTATTTCCACAATAATTGTTTTAGAACATCAATAGAGCCTCTGATGTGAGGCCAGAGATGTGAACACTTGTGTTAATAAAGGCAATACAAGTGGTTCAAACACAAACACAAGCATTAACATGATTCATGCATGTGTTAAAAACTTAACACATGCATTCTAACATTTCTCTGAAGTTTTCATATAAAAATGCATGCATGACAACATAAACACAACTGAATGCAAATGTGATAAGTCTGTCACATTTGCATTTGACACAAGTTTATCTTGAGTTCAACTCAATTGTTACTAGTTTTTCTCTGTCTCATGAGCTAGATTGATTCATGTGCATCTTTCTGCTGGCATATTAAAACTCAATTTGAGCTGAAGGATATGTATTTCCTCTTTGAAAGTATATCCACATAGTTATAGACTACTTATTAGTAATGATCTACTCTATTGGAATCATCATTCTTCAATTTGCAATGTTCATGCTTAGCTGATAGTTGATGCTCTGTTAGACTCAAGTGACACATGATCAATAACACATGGTAGAGTAGTACTGTATTGTGTTCATACAATCATGCTTGAATCCACTTTAGTGTATTTAGAGATGTTATGTCCCAAGGTCAATGCTTAGTTGACTCAAGTAAAAATGGTAGGATAAATAATAGATTGAGATTAGAGATACATAGTGCTGTCTATGCTTCTTATATACTCTTTGCCTCTTAGATAAATATAGTGTTACTAATTGTGAGTGTCTGTGCTATAGTACTCTTTGTCCTAGGGTGTTGTGGTTACCTACAAAAGGGACATTGTCTTGTTGTTGGAGAGTCACTACATACTGTGAGACAATGGTTGATATGTTGATTAAGATTATCCCATAGTGTTAAGTGCTAGTCTAGATGCTTTAACTAAGTGTAAATAGGGGTAAAAAAAAAGAAAATCATGAAAAATCATAAGATTACCCTCTCCTTAAGACTATTATCCTGATAGTTTAATTTAGGGATAGTTTATAATCACATATGACTATATTAGCATTCATCTGTTTTTTATTGATTCACTGGTTTGATTCTAGACTGTATCCCTTCCAACTGATCAGATAATTGATAGTCATTATTATGCCCCTGCCTTGTGCTTTGATCTTGCATGTTTTGTGGTGGAGAATTTGGTTAATCTTATAGTGTTTCTTATCATCAATGAGGTCAAGAGACAGTGATAGTGGTCATTCTTAGTTCAGAAAGGTGGAGATGATGTACAGTATCAGAAGAGATTTATTGAATGTGTTATAGATGTGCCACAAAGTTGAAAGATGAAGTTTATATGCTGAGGCACTGACTTTAGCTAAAATAGAAAATAGGCCAGTCTGTTTGTCAGCCAGCTTCCTTTTGAGGCAAGGTAGATGAAGGTTTGTCATATTGAGCCAAACCTTATCATTGACAGCATACATGTGTGCTGTGTGGTAGTGCTTGTTGTATTGTG